GATCATTGTGAAACTAGTTTCGAAACTTATCAAAACTAAACAATTTCAAAACTCCTTAGTTTTGGTGACCATCACTAATGTCAGGCCAAGTTGCGGTTTTCTGTACATGCAGGAATTGCTTTATCCTCAACTGATCCTGCATTATTTTACAGAGATAAAAATGGTAATAGGCATAAAGAACATAATGAAATTATTTCAAATATGGAAAGGCAATGTAAAATGGACTTATATGTGTTCTTGTTGCATATCCTGCTGATCTTTCGAGAGCAGCATTTGTTACAAACATGTACCCACAAAACACACGAAGAAAACATAATCATTTTATTGACATCATTGATAGTAAAAATGTAGAACAAATTTTTGAAAAAAATCATTTGGAATTCCTGAAAACATTAAAAGGATCATTAAAAAGACAGCGCACTATTTAAAGATAGAAATTTTTCATTAACAGCTATTTGCTTCTGGCAGTTGGTCATATGTTTTCAGTTAAAAATTGTCAAAAAAAAAAATCTATTGTTGAAATGGGAAATGTATTTTTATTTTTTTTTTTTTATCTCTTTACTTTTTTTAAAATGCGGACAAAACTGATCAAATTTTGCAATACTACAAAACATTTTGTTGTAGCATAAAATTTCATTTTATTGTAAATTTATTAGCCTTTAAAGCAATTTTACTTACGCCATTTGATTTAATAGTTTTACAACTTTGGTAACATTTCGTTCAAACAACATTAGATAAAATAGTATATTGCAGGTACTGACCAACTGGCCCATTGTTGTAACATTTTAAACATTACCATATTTAGTATTTATTTTATTAACAGCCCAAAACTCATTGGTCTCAATGGACCTAGTCTATTGCCAACCCTGGTATATTGCATTGCGTAATAGGTAAATGAAACATAGCTACTCGTGTATCATTTATTTTTGAAGATATATAATTAAAAAGAAAAATAAAATAATTACCTCATTAAGAAATTCATCAGTTTTTTTAATACCACAATCCTATCTTCACTAGTTCTTTTATTTCCATCAGTACTTTTATAACCATTTAACCAAGTAGCTTTAGATATAGTTGCAAACCCACCTCCACCTATCTTTTCAATATTTGTTAAATCATTATAAGGAATCCACTGAAGATAACTATCATTCCAATACTGAATTGCTTTAAGTTGTGTACTTTTAATCAACTCATCTAATGTTTCATTGCCACTAGTCCATCCTTCAGTCAATAGCTTTGGATCACATGATTGACACCATGCCTTATTAGTATTATATCTATTGCAAGTTGGACATTCCCCATAATATTTTTTTCTTTCCTTTGAATATTCATCATTTTGAAGACTTCCATCTTCCATGTGATGCATTACAGAGATATATTCTTTTGTAATTGGATCTTGTGTTAGCCCATAAATATAAACTTTATCATGATACTTTGTATGATTTTTGAACTAAAATAACAAATAAAATACTTAATAATACTTGAAAATCTGAAAATAAAATAGAAAAATAAAATAATTTACCTCATTAAAAAATTCATCAGAATTATTTGTGAATTATGTAGTTTTTTAATGCCACAGGCATATCCTTGCTAGTTCTTTTATTTTCATAATTTACAATTTTATGACCATTTAGCCAAGTAGCTTTAGATATAGTTGCAAACTCACCTTCATCTATCTTTTCAATATTTGTTAAATCATTATAAGGAATCCATTGAAGATGATTACTATAATGATACTTAGTTGCTTTAAGTTGTGTACTTTTAATCAACTTATCTAATGTTTCATTGCCACTAGTCCATCTTTCAGTTAATAGCTTTGGATCACATGATTGACACCATGCCTTATTAGTATTATATCTATTGCAAGTTGGACATTCCCCATAATATTTTTTTCTAATATATGGATCTTCATAATCTTGAAGATTTCCATCTTCCATGTATTTCATCACAAGTATATATTCTTTTGTAGCTGGATCTTGTGTTAATCCATAAATTTTATTTATAAATGATTTACCATGAAATGTAACATAATTTCTAAACTACATAAAAAAATTATATTTGAATTTCAGATAAAGACTAGTGCCGTAAATTATGATGATGGTAGTAATTGTATTTACGGCATATAAAAAGTGGTTGCAATTACCTTTGCGACCATTTTTGCAACCATACTTTTTCCTTTTTTGGATTACGGCACTAGTCTTTAATTTCAGAACAACATTTAAAAATCCAAAAATAAACAAAAAAATAAAATAATTTACCTCATTAAGAAATTCATCAGAAATATTCTGTGAATTATGTAGTTGTTTTAATGCCACAGGCATATCCTTGCTAATTCTTCTTTCATCATTATAATAATTTATACTTTTATAACCATTTAACCAAGTAGCTTTGGATATAATTGCAAACCCACCTTCACCAATCTTTTCAATATTTGTCAAATAATTATAAGGAATCCATTGAAGATACCAATTATTATCATACTCAGTTGCTTTAAGTTGTGTACTTTTAATTAATTCATCTAATGTCTCATTACCACTAGTCCATCCTTCAGTTAACAACTTTGGATCACATGATTGACACCATGAATAATCAGTATTATATCTATTGCATGTTGAACATTCTCCAAGATATACCCTTCTTTTATCAGAATATTCATCATTTTGAAGACTACCATCTTCCATGTAATGCATCACAGAGATATATTCTTTTGTAATTGGATCTTGTGTTAATCCATAAATATATACTTTATCATAAAACTTTGTATAATTTTTGAGCTAAAATAACAAATAAAATATTTAATTATAATTCAATAATATTTAAAAAACCTGAAAATATATAGAAAAGTAAATAATTTACCTCAATAAGAAATTCATCAGAAATTATTTAATTTTTTTAATGCCACAGGCATATCTTTGCTAATTCTTTCATTATCATAATTTATATAGTGCAAGTCACTTAGTCCCACAACTTTCTGCGCCACACCGCCAATTTTGGGAAAAATTCCCAATCAAAAATGCAATAAAAATTTTATGGTCACACGATTTTTGTTTGTTTTTTTTTTTTTTTGTTCAGTGAGGTCTGATTAGTTTATTTATGTTAATGATTTTCAATATACATGATTATATATATCTATACATTTATATTAGAACAAAATAAAACTAACTCGATCTAACTTACGAACCCGTATTTTAAACCGCGACCTACCACCACACGTATAATATACATGGGAGTGGTCCAGACCTAATGTCCCAGGAAAACCCCACAACTACCCTCCATACTCATCCCCTTTTCTATATAATTTTTTATTATACTAATACTTAATTTGTTGATATTATTTACACTTTGATTACTAGTATTATCAACATTATTTTTATTATTACTATTATTGATATTTTTATGATCATCAATACCATCACTAGTACCTGTGTTATTAATTATTTTTGTTTTATACTTCATATTTTTTTCTATTCCTATTTCCTTCTCCCACTTTATCACCTCATTGCATCTCTCTATCCAAATTTTTTCTCTGGTTACTGATATTATTTTCGGACTAACCTTCTAGCTATTTTCTTACTGTTATGACTGTTTATGTTCAATCCTTCAATGGCTTT